CCCCAAAACCCCAAAACCCCAAAACCCCAAAACCCCTCAAACGTGTCTAAAGATTGATTGAGAATATTCCGAAGAATTTCAATATAAATTATTTTTACATCCCAAAAATGGCTTATTCAAAGACAATGATATACCTAGCGATGACAGGAATGGTCCTGTCTGGCGCTGGCAGTGGGATTGCAATTAAACTCACGAATTCCACAGTTTCTCTAGGCTCAGAGTTCCACCACCCGTTCTTTCAATGCTTAACCATGTTCCTAGGTGAGGTGTGTTGCATGGTATTTGCTTTTTATTCAAGATATCAAGATAAGAAAAAGTATGGAAGCTTTGATAAAACTCCTGAATATATCGAAGCAGAACAGAAGGGAATGAAGGTGAAATACAACCCTCTTGTACTCGCTATTCCAATGCTCTGAGACTCTTTAGCAAGTTTGACAGTCATGATTGGCTATATTCACATTGCCGCAAGTATTGCACAAATGATTGGATCATTCATTGTTTTCGTAACTGCAGTTGAAGCTATTATTTTCTTGAAGCAAAAACTCTATAAGCACCACTATGTAGGAGCCTTCCTCGTGGTCTTCGGGATTATCTGAGTCGCTTATGCTGCATTTTCAACTGAAAATGAAGTTGCTAATGGGAATACATTTATTGGTGTTACAGCAATGATCATCTCTGCAATCATGCAAGTAGGTATGAAGTTAAATCCTTTTAGGGTACACAATTCGTCATTGAAGATAAAATAGTAAGGACTTACTATTCAGATTCATTCGAATTCGCTGGCTGGGAAGGGATCTGGGGCACACTTCTGTGTCTAATCGTTCTTCCTATATTTCAATTTATTCCTTGTGAAGGAGAGCTGTGAAGTGATGGATATATCGAAAACTCAATTTTTGCTCTTCAGCAGATTGCAAACAGCCCAAGATTGATATTTTTAACTATTTTCACTATTTTGATAATCTGAGCATATAATGGCATCGGCCTCTTAGTCACTAAAATGGTGTCTTCACCGAACAGAGTCATTCTGAGACAAATCAAAATAGTTGTAATCTGGATATTTTTCCTGATATATCCGTACGAAGGAGGTGAATCATTCAAAATCATCCAGCTAATAGGCTTTGCAGTACTCGTTTTTGGTGTTTTCTTGTACAACGAAGTCATTATAATCCATCATTGCGGTCTTGCCGACCATCTCTCCATCCAAAAGGACAAAGAAGACGTGCACAGTGAAAACTACATTGAATTCCAAGACTCTAATGCACCCCCAAATCAGCCCTAATTCAATCTTAGCCACCTATCAAGGGGTTTTGGGGTTTTGGGGTTTTGGGGTTTTGGGG